GAGCAAGACTCTGAAACCTTTACAGCGTTTATGCTAATCAGCGCATGACTTGACATTGAAGCCACTTCAAAGGCTCTGATAGCATCACAGCAGTTCATTTGGGAATTGAGACGGGAATATATAAGCTTATGTCCATCCAACATTTTTTGCACCAGAAATATGATGATGAATATGATCTGTCCAATTGTACGTGAATGTATAATATACAAATTATTTATTCATAGCAGATTTCCTGATTTGATTCTGATTCACAAGCTCTTGATTACAGTTTTTATTCAGTTCTATTCATTCTAGTATATTACAGTTATAATGTCAGTATTTCTTACATATGAAAGATATTCTGTCTTTGCTAATGCTGTGAGTTATTGGACAGAAGAGCTGGGCGATATATTTAATATTATCGCAGTATCTTTGCTGACAATATAACATTGGGTAATGTGACCCTGTGAAAAATAAATATACTAAAATGTATTTGAAATACATTTCTTTCATGCTAGGTATACTACAAATACATTTACATATTTATGCAATTAATAAAAATACCCTGCAATTTGGTGTACTAAACTGGTATACTTAAAGTCTGTTAAACTGGAACAACTAATTTTGTACTTGATGTACTTGAATTGTGTTGAGTGCGGAAGTACAACTAATTGTTTGTGCTAAAGTGGAACTATTGCAAGTATACTTATGTCACGTCACTTTATAGATAAAACTATAAGATAAAAAAAAAATAAGATTTCACTACCTCTAACCACTAAAAATAAGAGTCTCACTAGAATAAGTTTGCATTTAAATGACAGATATTATTCAAAGAGCATACAGTCCTCATCAGTAGTGACATTAAAACACATTTTAGGCTTAATATTAAGAAATGTGCATTGTGCACAAGTAGTAGCCTACAGCAAATAAAGTTTAATTTAAATTTAAAAAAATTTTAAAAATTAAATTTTTATATCAGTTAGGCTTGATCGATATGTCAGTAAATGTTAACTATTCTTAGTATGAAATGGATGTATTTTAAATTGCTTTTTTACTAGGGGAATATTGCGATAATGTCAATAGTTGTCTTTATAGGGAAGTCATGGCCTAACGGTTAGAGAGTCGGACTCGTAACCCAAAGGTTGCGGGTTCGAGTCTCGTACCGGCAGGGATTGTAGGTGGGGGAGTGAATGTACAGCGCTCTCTCCCACCTTCAATACCACAACTGAGGTGCCCTTGAGCAAGGCACCGAACCCCCAACTGCTCCCCGGGCGCCTCGGCATAAATGGCTGCCCACTGCTCCGGGTGTGTGTTCACTGCTGTGTGTGTGCACTTTAGATGGGATAAATGCAGAGCACTAATCTGAGTATGGGTCACCGTACTTGGCCACGTCACGTCACTTTATAGATAAAACTATAAGATAAAAAAATAATAAGATTTCACTACCTCTAACCACTAAAAATAAGAGTCTCACTAGAATAAGCTCTTTTATAAGCACTCCTGTATGTGTAATTAATCTGAATGTGTCAAAGGTTTCTATTTATGTATTTTTTTAGCGCTAAGCATTGTAACCAATAACAGACGTTCATCAAATTATTTTCTGCTAGCTACACAGTTACATTTTTAGATTGAGAACCATATTTAAATGTGGGATTGAATTAAAAAATGTTTAAATAACAGTGACAATTATAGCAATGGAGCGATCAAAAATCTGTGCATTAAATTTTGCAAACTAATAGACCTGCCATTTGTTCTGTCATGTGTAATGTGTTTGTTTTTTTTGTTTTTTTTTTTTTTTATAAATTATATAATCCTTAGTTTATTGAATAAATTAGTTTTTACTGTTGTATACAGATATACAACACCAAAGGCCGCTCACTCTTTGGGTAGAGTGACCAAACTAGTCTCGTCTTAGCTGTGTGACACTCCACTTATCCAAATCCCCACTGATTCGGGACGCTGTGCTTTAGGGGGAAGGGCGCACCAGGACGAGCATGAGCAATGAGATTGCTCAGCGTGATCTGTCCAGTCAGTGGAGTGTTATTCTCTAAGGAGCATTTAACCCCATTCACATTGATCAACAATCACAGGTCATTACTTATTATATGTTATACAACTCAAGTCTGCTTCTTAGCATTAGGGAGCGCTGGGATAGATTTTGATGAGTCATGTGGCTTATTTTTGTTATTTGTTGTTTGCAGTATGTCTGTATGGACCCATGAGAGTTGTGGCCCAGAATAGAGACTGTCTGACAGACTGAGCTTTCTTTAATACAGGACAGCAGTGATATGGGACCACCAAAGGCCACAGCTGCGGGAACATTGATTGATCGGTCCTCGGGTCATATCTTGCCTTAGAGCCTACAATCACTTTCCCTTCTCTCGGTATAACTATTATCTGAGATGTCTTTTGTATGGTTTGATGTATCTGACCCTATAAACCTCACAGCTGCCCTTTTTAGATCTTCCATTTAAAAAATCAGAACACTACCTTACACAAATAATAGTCCTGAAGTATTAATTTATTTCTGCCTTCTTGGGAAATAGTGAACCTCTGCTTCTTACAAACAGATAAATTCTTAGTGAAGTCATTGCATAGTTCTGTAGTAGTGTAAACACAAGTAGCATTATAATTTGTTTTAATACAAATAACATTGGAAAAGAAATGGCCCTCATATCACTCTCTAACCATTCATGTTGTGCTATGAGAGATTAGACTGTTTTTGTGTATTTAGTTAACTTTGCTCATGCAGATTATCCACCAGATTTACCGTGTAGCAGGAATGCTGGGAACTCCACTGAGACCTCTCTAATGGATCACATGACCGTGGCTTCAGGGGGACGGCGAGGTGACATCTGCTTCCTGATCTGCACATTCGTGCCGCAACACGCCCCGTCTGAACAGCACAGCACATGGAGAATAAAACCAACACACCACGTCGTCTTAGCACAACTAACTGCATGTTTACAAAATATAGAGCTCGTTTGAGATACTCTCACTCAAGTGACTTCCTGCGTAGTGCTTCAGCGACAATGGGTTCTTCAGGTGTTATTGTGAAATCTTAATACTTAGACTTTGGTCCATTCGAAAGCAAATTATAAGACTGGCAAACGCACGGAATGTGTCTTAAATGTACTCTGGCTGAGAGCCGTGGGGCTTTTCCTGCGGTGAATAGCTCTTTGTTTAGCCGCAGAACCCCCTTAAGCGGGGTGGCTGCTGATTGTAGCTGCCATTGAATGCTTTACAATGGAGTTGGGAGACATACTTGAGCGAGAGAGGGTGGGGAATGGGAATGAGTGGGATTGAAAACCCTGTCGGCGGGTTGTGCTTTTCTGCCACCTGGTGGTGAGGCAACAAGTTCAAGTCGGATGTGTTGGTGGTCATATCTCTGGTGCAGGTGGTCTGTACATTGCTGTGAACGGCCTCAGTGGGTTTGTGGGGCAGCCGTTTGTTTGTGACCTGATTCTCTGGTTGGTCAAAGCTGTTAGCGCAATCGATTCATTTTCATTTGTCTTCTCCCAGCGCTGTTGTTGTAGCTCAACAGTCTGAGTCAATGTTGTGTTGAGTTTCACAGTGCGCTGTCGATCATTTGACCACTAGTTTCTCTTGTGTTTCTCTTGTGGTTCTCACATGTGCACAGACTAAATGGACTAAAAGCATTTTGTTAGTTGCAAATTGTACAAATATATAAAGTGAGTAGTCATTACGTTAACATTTAGGGCTCTTATTGCATTCCCTTGGAGCAAAGGGCTATTTGTTTTATTCACAGGTTTGCATTTATAAGGCTTGAACCAGCATCCTTCTGGTTATATGTAATGCCATATGTAATGCAATAATGTTCAGAATTCATTTCTCTCAGACAATACTAAACTCTTTCCTATTTACAACCCATCAAATTTCCATATCAAGCGGATTTTAAATATTTTAAAGCTCTAAAAGTCTTTTTTTATGCTGTATTTGTTTACATACACTACTGTTAAAAGTTTGTCATCTATAAGATTTTTGTTTTGTTTTTGAAAGGCTGCACTTATTTGATCAAAAATAGTAAAATCTGTAATTTTGTGAAACATTATTACAATTTAATTTTTATGTGTTAATATATTACAGTCATTACTCCATTCTTTAGTGTCACGTGATCCTTCAGAAATCATTCTAATATGCTGATTTGATGCTTAAGAAGCATTTTTATCAATGTTAAAAGCAGTTGTGCTACTTAATATTTTTGTCTAAACCAGGATGCATTTTTAGCAGGATTCTTTGATGAATAGAAAGTTCAAAAGAACAGCATATATTGTATAATTGTCTGTAATTTGATCAATTTTATGTGCCTTTACTGAGTAAAAGTTAATCATATAAAATCTTTAAAACAAATCTTAACCAACATAATTTTAACAGTATGCATAGTGTATTTATGGTTATTACAAAAATACACAAGATGAATTGTTTATTTTTAGTATTTTATTATAATTAGTTTCAAATCTTTACATGTACCCCTGAAACATTCCTAAGTACTCCTGTTTAGAAATGAATGTTGTAAATCAGTGCCCTGAATGATCTGTGAGAATTCACTCTTATTAAATAAGTTATTCATGTGTGTTCAGTTGTGTTATGAGGACAATAGAGTCTTGGGGTGCAGGGGTTTTGGGACATTACTGACCTATTCCTCAGGGTTACCTCGGCTCTGCTGAAGGCCTCCATTCCTCTTCATGCCTCTCTCTTTGTCTCCTTACAGCGCTGGCATTGCTATTGGTTTCTACGGGAATGGCGAAACCTGTGATGGCGTGAATCTGCTTACCTACTCCCTCCGCCATGCCAATCGCACCGTGTCAGGAGTGGACAGGTTATTCATGTGTGTTCAGTTGTGTTATGAGGACAATAGAGTCTGAATTAGATGCTTGTCTGTGTCTTCTGCCGGCTGTCTGCAGGGGTTTTGGGACATTACTGACCTATCCCTCAGGGTTACCTCGGCTCTGCTGAAGGCCTCCATTCCTCTTCATGCCTCTCTCTTTGTCTCCTTACAGCGCTGGCATTGCTGTTGGTTTCTACGGGAATGGCGAAACCTGTGATGGCGTGAATCGGCTTACCTACTCCCTCCGCCATGCCAATCGCACCGTGTCAGGAGTGGACAGACTGGTGAGGCACTGATGCACACTGGGTTATGTTCACATAGTGCTCCATCTCCCCAAAAACACACCAGAGCTTGACAATCTCTGTGATATACTCCGATGTTATACTGTATGATCTGTAGCTCATGAGAAAAGAACTTACAAAGCAAATGTGTGTGTCTGTAGGTGTCAGAAAGTACATCAGCTCAGAGCCAGACTGTGGACGAGAACCTTCGGCTACTAAAGGACGAGTATGCAAAGCACACAGACTACCTGTCCATCGTACATAAACTTCAGGATCAGCGGAGTGAGCTGGTTCGTCAGATGACTGACATTCCCTTTTGGAGCGATCTCAGCATCTCCTTGGAGGATCTGGCAACCCAGATTGAACTATATGACTGGTACCGGTATGTACTTTGATTTGTTTCACAGCAATGGCAATATCACTGAAATAAATATGTAGGGATGTCAAACATTCTAGTTCAGTACCAAATCATTTCTAAAACTGCGTGTCATGTGACCATTAAGTGACATCAGAGAACTGTGAACATGTGAGAGTGTTATTAAAATATTAACTTAAAATATAAGGGTTGCTTCAATAAGTAAACTTATTTGGTAAAAGAAATTTGGCTGACAAAAAAAAAGTACATTTAGGAAGCCCTTATACTGGTAACTGAAATGTTAGTGTTGCGACAACCCTAGAAATTTTTCTGGCAGACATTTTGAAATGTACTTCAGTCTGTTTAAAGGTGTAAAACCTTTCTAACATCCAGAAAAAAGTCTCGGGCGAAAAAGAAAGAGTGCTCAAAGGATTTCTCTGTATCGCATAAGTTGTGAACAGTGCTCTCTTAGAGAGAATAGAAATTAGTATTCTGTTCACTCGCTGCCTCTTTCCACCTCTCGTCAGCCACTTACTTTTCTCTCTGAAAGAAATTGCTTTGGGGTCTGTTTGTTTGCCTAAAAAGCCAAATAAGTTTCATTTCAGGCTTCCAAACAGGATAAAGCCAGAAAACCAAATAATTTTGGCTTTGATTTCAAAAGATTACCTTTTCTGAAAATGTAAATGGATCACTGAAGCTTACTGAAGAAAAGAAAACCGTCAGCGATTAAATAACAATAAGAAACTAAATACAAGCAAAAGGACAAAATAAAACACTACAGTAGAACACATAAAAAATGCTACATACATTGTATAAAGTAATCACAAAAAAAACTGCATATTCTTCACCGTCTAAATTAAATATATATTTCTTCTTAAAGTTACAAAAGTGATTTAGAGCAGTGAGAAATTGTCTCTTTTGTTGTTTGATTAACATGAATGACAGACAGCAGGAATATTAGACTGCTGTCATTCTAGTTCAGTACCAAATCATTTCTAAAATTTAAAAGAGAATACAGATTTCAGTACTCAAGTTCAAGTATATGAACATTAATTTATTTTTAATACAATATACTGTCACACATGTGTCTTCTTTCTCAGCTGTTTGTTTTCACTTAAGACCTAAATTACTGTTTACGAGGATACTTGCAAAGACGGGCATTTGACACATACAAGTGTGTATTTAACTGTTCAATGCCAATAAAGCGGCAAAAATAACTTTCCCACACTTTATTAGCACCATCTTTACGTGCGCACGCCTCTCAGACAGCGTGCATATAGTGAAATGAGTTCTGTTTGGCTGCTGATTGAGTTTCCATGGCTCAAAATCACTTGTTTTTTAAATCGAAATGCTTAAAAACGCGTGCAAATGAAATGTTTTCGTGACCACTTAGCGCAGCAACGTTACGTGAGCGTGTAACCGCAATGGAGACAATAGTCAAAAATCTCTACCAGTCGACAAATTACTATGGTGGGTATATCGCCCACCCCTACTTACCAAGGCTGCACTTATTTGATCAAAAATACAGTAAAAACAGCAATACTGTGAAATACTATTACAATATATATATATATTTTTTTTGTAACCTTATGAATTATCAATTTTGTGCATCCTTGGTTAGTAAAAATATAAATTTCTTAAAAGAAAAACAGCATATTGACCCTTTTTCATATATTTATATTTCATTATTTAAATATACAAGAGACAACAGATCTGTGAAGCATCTTATACTATTTGTTAATGACTTGTTAATGTTTCTTAAAGTGTTACCATTTTTGAGTTTGCAATACATTGTCGTACAGTGTCTGTTACATTGATTGTGGGTTTTGCTGTGTTTGTAATGTTAATATGTTGTTGTCTTTAGGTGGCTGGGCTACCTGGGTCTGCTGCTGTTTGATGTGCTCATTTGCCTGCTGGTGCTCTTCGGCCTTATCCGCAACTCCAAAGGAACTCTGATTGGGTAAGGCTCGACATATGGATGTGTCTTTGGGTCATGTGTGTTACACCAGGGTAAATAGAGCTTACAGAAACTTGCAAATGACCAGCAATATTTGATCTGCTGACCCACAAAGGTCTTTCAGTTGTCAGGGAGCCATCCACTCGAGGTACACCAGATTGATTTATGAAGTGTTAGTTATGCTCTTCTGTTTTAGCTCCAACAGAGAAATTATAAAGTATATTTCTCTCTGACCCCCACCCCCCCCCTCACTCTGGGAAGTTTTAAATCAGAGATGGCACAGAAAAACAACTGTGTGACAAGCTCTCCACAGTGCCTGAACAACAAAATAGCTCGAAAAACAGACACATTAGCACTGTTCCAAAACCGCTCTATATAGAAAGTAACTTTCTGCCACTTTCTTCTAAGGCATTTTTGTCAAATTTGCTTAAATATCTTAATTGAACTAAGGTCTAGTCCTGGCTTAAGCTAAGCCCCGTTTGTGAAACCGGGCCTTAAAGTGCTAAGAGACTTACCAATAAGAGTATCCCAATCGGTGTACTTATGCACTCTTCTATGCTCTTTTGTAGTGTGTTGACACTGAAAATTCCAAAAAGAAAAAATGCACATTATGCTGGATGACAAAAATAACCGTATAAAATTCATACACGAGACTGTATAGGGCAAACTGGATACTATTTAATTTGGGGCGCAACTAGAGATGTCACAAAGCTAACAATGCAACAGTGTCCACCCATCTTTTCAGCAGCCTTGGTTCCAGTAGTATTTTTCCTATTCATTTTTCCCCATAAGTATTTAAAAAAAAAAAAAGTCTTTCTTTATAAGCCATGAACCAAACCAACCATCTAAGAGGTAAGTCACAACATTACAAATTTTGCCTTTTTGTCGCCCAACTCTGTATGTTTTCCATGAATCATTTTATTGGACTGTCCAGGTTTTAGAATTGTTATCCTGTATAAATCTAAATGTCTTGTATAATCTTGACTGCTATATTTTTAATTTTGGTTTTTATTTTATTGTATTTATGTAAACTTTTTTTGTTGTTGTTGTTTTTTGGGGTTTTTTTGTAATTCAGTTTTTGCAATTTTTGCAATTTAGCCTCAGATGCTGACATGGCCTTAAAATCCAATACTGCCACTGTCGTTTTGTCTGATTTTCAAATACCTTTCTGCTTCAAATCAAAGGTACAAAACTGTGTACCGTGTTTTGGTGCGATTTGCTTGTCTGTTCTCTGATTTGTTTTAGATTTAGTTTTTCACCAGGAATTCCACTCTTGAACATGATAATTTTAAAAAGATATTTAAAAAATAAGTTAAAATGATGCTGATGGCTTCAACAAAGGCATTTACCATTGATTAACAACTTCATAGCTCACAGTAGGTCTGTCTTTAAAGGTCTATAAGTTATTGTTAAAATCAATTCCCCTATGGAGAAAATAAATGGATTTTTCCTTCTGGAACCCCACTGTTGCATTCTGTATTTTAAGAATAAAAATAAAGCAAAGCACACAAACATTGGGTAAAATGTATATTTTTATTAGATGGAATGTTTTTATTCAGATATATACTGTATATAGATTTATAAATTAAGTGAAGTGACATGTGGCCAAGTATGGTTACCCATACTCGGAATTAGTGCTCTGCATTTATCCCATCCAAAGTGCACACACACAGCAGTGAACACACACACACCGTGAACACACACCCGGAGCAGTGG